TTTCGAAAAAGCGGCTTGCTTTTTCGAAAGAAAGCATCCAGTGAGTCTGGATGCTCTCTTTTTAAGAAGCCCTATTTACATTGAAGAACGCCTTCTTTCGAAAGAAGGCGTTCTTCCTCGTGAAATGAGGTTTACCGCCATCGAAAGAAAAGCCGCATTCTTTCGATTTAATTTCGAAAGAACGCGGCTTGAGTCTGGACGCAGGGGAAGTTTTTTCGGAAAAAGGCTGCTTTTCCCGAAAAAACCCCTGAGTCTGGACACAGCCCAGCTGTCCTCAGCTGGCACTAGGTGCCTTGCCATGGTTGCCAAGTGCCACGTGTTCAAGCAGCCCCTTGTGCACGAGGCTGCTGTGTGGCTGCACAGTGAACCTGCTCTTCCCCCCTTCCCTGCTGGCCCTTTCAATGGGCTGGACCGATCCACGTGAGGGATGCCTGCCAAAGGGTGATGGGGGTCTCCAGTGGGGCAGTGTTAAAGGGGAGCTGTCCGGCCGGTAGGATGGCTCGGCTGCCCGTGGCTGGCGACACGTTCCTAGAGCCCAGGCTGGTCCCAGAGGGAAGGTGGCAAAGATGCCAGGACGCTGCTGTTGAGTCCGACTGGAAATGCCGGAAGAAGAGGAGGGCAGGCTGTCCTGCCCACCCAGCAGATTGGCATAGGGAGCTTTCGATCCGGGCTGGCAGGGACTAGGAGATGCCACTCTTGGTTGGCAGTTCAGTGGCCTGTGTGGAGTTAGTTCATGGGGCTCAGTCCGGTCCCTAGCGGACTAACCAGTGACACAGCGGCTGCCTTGCTGTGGGCTCGGCAGAGGGGCCAAGGAGCGGCCGGGTCCTGGGCTGTGTCTATTGTGGAGGTAATGCCTCCAGGGAGTGCGTTGCAGGGTGCTATGGGGGAGCCTGGCACTGCTGCTGCCCTGCCCCATGTCCAACGGGGCTTCTGTCCGCGGGGCTGCTCACCAGTTGCCACCAAAGATTAGATCCACCTACCCTCACGCTGGCCAATGCCGCGCGTGTCTGACAGCCCCACCCCTTGACTAAATTCACGCATTGAAACCAAAAAAAAGGGGCACTTCCTCTTTTGCGGAGATGGAAAAGATCCGAACTTGCAGCTCGCCACAGCTCATTGGGCTCCTGCGATGATATCGCCACCGGGGATCTCTCTAGGTACATGGACCACGTTTTGTACCAGGGCTTTTGTCTCTAATAGGTTAATAGACGCCCTCTCACTTGTTCCAGATTGCTAAGGAGACCTCCGATCAGTGACTGCTTATACACCACCTGCCCTCTCTAGGGCTGCGCTTCCAGCCAGCTGTGGCCCTTGCTACTCTGCCTGGAACATGCTGATGACAGCGCTGAATGATTTAACCCTTTCTTGAGGGATCCTTCGTATAAAGTGTCGCTGATTTTTAAAGCCACTAGTGAAAGAAGTTAGCAGAGTCTTTAGGGCCATGAGGGGGACAGTTTTCAGTAGCTCCTGTTTAATGGCCCAGTGTGGGAAATGAACTTTTCTCTACCTCCATGCCCCTTGGGAAGTGTATGTGGGGTTGGCGTGGGGAAGATGCGCTTGTGCCTGGGGGGTAGAACTGCTCTTAGGGGCTAGGGGCGGCTGCTCCGGGATGGAGCCGCTGGGCCTGGAGGGTTGGCAGAGATGGTCACTTCTTTGTGTCTCCCTCCTCTCCCCCGATTCTGCTCAGATGACCCAGCTGATGAAAGCCGCCAGAAGCGGCACGAAGGATGGCTTGGAGAAGACGAAGATCGCCGTCATGCGGAAAGTGACCTTCTTGCACCGGAAAGAAGCCCCAGGTAACTGGCGCGGAGACAGTCGGGGTCCTGTGCAAAAGAGCCGGTTTTTACAGAAATCAGATTCACACGTTGCTCAGGATTGAAGGCTGAGATTTGATCACGGGCGCTGGCTCAGTAAAAGTCACAGGCAATAAAGAAAAATGACCCGTCCATGACTTCCACTAAAAATACCAATGGCAAAATGAGGAGATCAGGTTCACACTGACGAGGATACAGATTCAGGGACCGCTTGGAAATCCGGGACTCCCCCTGCTGCTCCCTACCGCTGCGGGCTGAAGTCACGGAAATCAAGGAATCCATGTCTTCCGTGAAAAAATCGTAGGGTATGTCTACACTACCACCCTAGTTTGAACTAGGGTGGTAATGTAGGCAACCGGAGTTGCAAATGAAGCCCAGGATTTGAATTTCCCGGGCTTCATTTGCATCTTGCCGGGCACCGCCATTTTTAAATGCGGACTCCGTGCCGCGTGTAGCACTAGGTAGTTCGGACTAGGCTTCCTATTCCGAACTACCGTTACTCCTCGTAGCCACACGGCACGGAGTCTGCACTAGCGGACATTTAAAAATGGCAGCGGCCGGCTTTATGCAAATGAAGCCCGGGAAATTCAAATCCCGGGCTTCATTTGCAACTCCGGTTGCCTACATTACCACCCTAGTTCGAACTAGGGTGGTAGTGTAGACATACCCGTAGCCTTGCTGACGGTAGGGGGCTCGCTGATTTTTCTGTGATCGACTTACGCTTTTTGCTCTGTAAACTACACGCTCACTCTGTAGGTTCTTGAGAAAATGTTACCCCTTCTCTAGTGCAAGGCTGTTCAATCAGAGACTCCAAGGGTACGTCTAGACTACAGGCTTTTGTCGACAGAAGTTTTGTCAACAGATACTGTCGACAAAACTTCTGTCGACAAAGAGCGTCTACACTACATTCAGTTCTGTCAACAAAGCAAGCTGCTTTGTCGACATGGTAGTGTAGATGCAAAGGACAGTTTACATGCAATAACACCTTCTGTCGACAGAAGGCGTTATGCCTCGTAGAATGAGGTTTATAGCGGTTGACAAAACTGCTGAGTTCTGTCGACGTTATGTCGACAGAACTCAGTGGTAGTGTAGACGCAGGTATAGTTTTGTCGACAAAAGTCCACTTTTGTCGACAAAACTCTGTAGTCTAGACACACCCCAACAGTGCAAAGGGGTTGGGAAAACGCACGTCCAATGTTTTTGTACGATTTAAAAACTCATCCCCAAATCCTTTTTCTATTTAGCTTTTCTAAAACCTTCAGGACTCTCAAGGGGTATGTCTACACTACCCCGCTAGTTCGAACTAGGAGGGTAATGTATGCATACTGCACTTGCAAATGAAGCCCGGGATTTGAATTTCCCGGGCTTCATTTGCATAAGCG